AAATCAGCTGATTTGCCATCACCGCGCCGTAGCCGCTATCGCGTCACAGTGCAGCGCGGCTCAGCCGCCCCGCTGTCCCATTAGGCGTATTTACCCTATACATCTTGGGGTTTGAGCATGTGAGTGTGGTGAAAAAAATAAACTTCAAAATAAGTGAAAGCGGGGAGAAGGCGAGCAGATGGTAGCTAAGGAGTTATGTGTGACCCGAATATGACTCACGATTTTTCAGAACACTAAAATTCTAGCCGGTATACAGCAAGCAAGTGGTAAATGGCAGCTTTAATACGAAAATGATCCCTTCCTCGAATTTGGTCCTTCGGATCGGTCCCTAGCTACAACCTTACCGAACTTTTCCGAATTCTGCAATTGACAAAGGGAGAATGGCGCCACGCGGTATATGGGGAAATCAACCATCTGAAAATCCCTTCAATTTTGGAACACGACTACCTACCCCCCCCCCTCCTCCAAACGGCCCCAAGAACACCACATGAGTTTTTCCCAACAACGATGTATGCTGGTAGGCCATTCTCAGGGAGAGTTTTGTAAAAAAAATTGTTTTAAAAGGCTCGCCTTTTCCTGGCGTTCGGTATACGAACGAAACTAAACAGAAGATTTCTTGTTTAGGCTGCGTTTATACTTTACGGCAGCGAGCGTTTCCAGCGTTCGCCAGCGGCAGTGGCAAGGAAAGTATGAAGGCAGCCTTATGATTAAACACCGATGCTTCAACAGCACCGCAAATGCCGACTCCAAGGGCTGCTGGCCGGGTTGTGTTGAAAATTGTGTTATGGACTTCTTCCCTGGGCATTGACACGTGTAGAGTGGGAGGAAGGGCTGGGCCAGAAACACTATCACAGCTATAATCTGCTTGGGAATAGTGCAACATCTACGTTAACAGTCTACGTCAGAGAGCGCTCTGGGCTGGAGTGGTATGCAGAGCCTGGAGAAGGAGCGTCGTCCAGCGAATTCGTCATCGTAAAGTGAATTTCATAGTATAACACCTGTAAGAAAGAACTTTTCCTACTCAAATGTTTATTTCATTTTATTTCATCACATGCACATACCTAAAAGCTTTTTATAATCTGCGATAGCTGCCCAAGCAATTGAACCAGTGATAAGAGTACCCTTCTATAGACTACAATCGCACTGCACTAATGGCGAAAGCTGGCCAGTATATCACTGTTGGTGAGTTTCTTGAAGTATTGGCAATTGTTGGGTTGACGGGAAAGTTGTGTCATATTTTTTGACTCAAAGTGTTTGCTCTCAACCGTAGAAAGTGGAAAATTCACATGAGGTAACATTCCTTCTGATGGAACCACTCATGTCCTTTTTTAAGAAGTGGGAAGCAGCTTCGTCCCGGGCACCTGCGCTTTTTATAGCTTTTCTTCGACTCGAACATGAGAGATGCCGAGGCCAAAATGAGAGAGTTGTAGAAGGACCATTGATCCTATTCCTGCCTGACCGTTTGAATATTAGTGCCAAATTAATGTGAACATTTGACAGTGTCCCGTCCCCGTGAAGTTTTCTCTTTGGCTTGACGCTCCATAGGAGTTTCGCTGCTTCAATCAACGGACGCGTACCTAGAAATTGTCGCGCATAGCCGCGCGACAAGCCGAGCGCCTAGACGCGACAAGTTACGATTGTCTTGTCCTTCTCTCAAGGATTGAAGGCGATCGGGCAGCATACCTTCATCATGAGGACCGGTGAGGTGATAATGAGAAGCAGTTATGCCAGGAGAGTGGGTCAATGTAGTGCTGTGTCCCAGGCTCGATTATTTTTAAGATCCGACTTTTGCCAGGTCCTCTTCTCTTGTAAAACGTATAATTTATGGGCTAATGTACTTGTGATCAAAGGCACTGGCGTCTATAGGGGATTCATGGGTCTTATGTTATCGCCTAAATCATCACATGCCCATCACCAAAAGAGAAAAGAAAGGCAAACGCCCAGTAATGCAGTATTGCCAGAAATGACTGACATCAAGCTTAAGTTCAGATGGCCATAGTTGCTGCCTGGCTGAGTGGTGAATTAGACAAATGTCAGTTATGTAAGTAACGCGATTGTTAAGGTGTGCTGATCATCCCAAACGTGTGATTCGTCGAACTCATCGGTGTCTGAATAACAGCGTCAATAGACCCCCCTCCCACCTAAATGGGAAGGGAGCAAGAAGTCGGGGACTCACTCACATATTTAGAGAACAGGAAGCGTTCAAGAGTCCGCGATGACGCGCGTCGGCGCTCCAATTACAACAGCGCTTCAAAGCTATGGACGCGATCACAGCCGCAGGCGAATAGATTCTGCGATCGATGGGCCTCATAATGCTGTCTAGTCACCACTACATTGGATCGATAGGCTCTTGGCCGTCTGGCCGATGTGACTAACAGTGGCGTTCGGCGCTCTGGAGTTTGGAGCGGACTTCTGCAGCGCTTCTGTGATTGTGAGCGCCGTCAGACTCGCGTTCACAGCGCGTGACGCGCGTATCGTCATCGTCATTTATAGCCGCTGCCGCGGTCGTCACACACATTTTAATGCGGATGCGGCGTTATTGACCGCATAGTGAAACGCGGACCTATGCATAAGAGGTTTTCGAGTCGTCGCACTACATTACATTGTACTGACCAGAACAGAGTTCGGGTTATTTTGACAACTGGCGATTACTGAGCACATGAACCTTTTAATAAGCTGGGGAGACCTTTCAACAGCTCTAGCAGCTGGTGAATGGGTACCATAGTAGACTGTGAGGACAAACTCCCGGAATGTGCCCCGGTCTCCATTGCGCAGTACTCGCTGTTCGAGAACCTCAACGAACCTGTGCGTGAGTAGTATCGTCCCTTAAGTTAGCGCATCCCTGCAGGAGGTGACCAACGCCTAGAGCCCCTGTCTCATGTCTTGTCTTGTTTTGTCACTTCCTTTAGAACTTTGGCACTATTCAACTACTACTACCCCAGAAATTCAAAAAAGATTTTTTTGCCTGAAACTTTTGCCCACTAGGTACCTTTATACCTTGATAAACGAATATAGCACTCATTTGCGGCGCTGGCGCCAAATTGGTAAGAATTAGCGCCACTTTGGCGCCTCCACCTTCCTCATCAAAGACGGTGTAAATTTAAATAGTAGGGGTTTTGATGTCGCTGATCACGATATACGAAAAAGTGTCCAGCCCTGACGCCATTTGGCGCCATTAGGTGCTGATTTGGTGCCACACCCTTTCTCGTCAAAATCGATGAACCTGCACAATGGGGAGTTATGATGCTGATACGCAATATGACATTTATTTTTCAACGCCAGAGCCATTTAGCGTTTTTATAAGGCTGAACCTAGGAGAAAGAGTGATTTCCTTCAGGTCAGGCTCAGCCTTAGCAGAGCGCAGATGATCGCAGCGTCTTCCATCAGCGCCAGCGCCAAAAATGAATGTGATATTTGTAATCAAGATGTCAAATAACCTCCGTATACAAGTTTTCAGCGGATTTGGTGGTCTAGGGTACCTTGGCCGGCGCCTGTGGCGCGGGCGCCAGGCAGTTTCGGGCGGAGCGGATGTGATACTCGTGTTCAGAGAGATCGAACTAACCGTGAAACCCAACTTTCATCTGGCCTGTTTTCGGAAAATCGGTGTAGTAATAGTTGAGCAGTGCCGATTTTTTTTACCCCGCATGGAAGAAAGCATTCCTATTGCACTTGTCTAGAACCTAATCATCAGCTCTTTTGAAAGGCATCAGTGGTATTTCAAAACTTCAACTTTTCAGTTCTGGTGTGTTTCGTGGTTGCGGTGGCGATAGCTTCGCTAGTGTTCAACGTTCTTGTGTTCGTGCGATACTTGGACGATCATAATGGAAATGACCAGCATCATGATGGAAAACCAGCAAAGCTGCCGGTTCACGTACAGCATGAATATCCTCGCAGATCTCCCACGGAAAGAGCAGCCTCCAGTGGAACGCTTGATAGAGTTCGATACACCAGCTCAAGTAAAATCGGTTTTCAGTTCAGCACAACGATCGACGAACTTCAAGCAAAGTGTAGCTTTTCCCGCAAAATCGGTTTTGCTCAATCTAGCATCAACACATGTCAACAGTTCGATTTACTGCCCCAGCTATGAAGTACCGAAAAGGACGCCTGCATGGATGGTGGGTTCATCAAGGCTTTTACTTAAAAGTGCTCTGTATGCTCACCTTCAAGATTCTGTTCTTTGCCATGTGTAAAGTGAACGGTTTCGTCCCTGTGGAATTGAGCCGCTTTGGTCCCTTGAAAGAAGTGCCGGAATGAGACTGGAGGGTAGTAATAGCCCGTTCCAGGTTCACTCGCAGGCGAAGGACGTGGAGCTGTACCCCAACGAACTACTCCTCTGCGCCCTCTGACTTTTCGTTGTTCTCTACACCTTGCCCGCGAT